CAATGCCATCCATGTTTGTCATATGAAAATCACATATGAATCACGAAAAAGGTAAAGGAAAAAACCCAAGATACTGCAGACTACAATAAATTTTAATAGATTTTAGTGAGCCATCGTATTCTTAGACTTTGCGTAGTTTTATTTAAATTCGAAAAAGCTAAATGGAAATTTCAGGATAAAACGATGACTACATCTCAAAACACCATTCGTTTGAGGTTCGAAGGAAATAGGCCGGCGTTATCCCATAATATTCATATCAAATGAAAAGAACTAGACTGAGCAAATTGAATCTATATTCTAAGATCTATTATGAATTTTGAAGTTTTGGTTGTCTGAAAATTTTGTTTTTGACGTATTTTCTTTGGTTTTTATATAATTTATTCTTATTTAAGCATTCTGTTTATGATCTCTGTAGAAAAATCTTATCGTGACCGCATGAAAACTATCTCTACGAATAATCTTACAAGAACGGCTTTGTTCTTAATTAATTAAGTATCAACTGGTATATTATCTAAAAAACATCAATATGTCACATCATGTTTACTCATAACAGATTTATTTTTAAGAAAGAATATCAAAGAAATTACAAAAGAAAATGATGTCAACAGTACCAATATTATATACACTTATTAGTTAGTATCATGCATTTGAAAGATAGCTATTGAAAAAAATACTTGTAGGTTTATCATAGAGTTGATATTTAACAACGGATACTGAAAAACTGCAAACGCTTCCCTAACGCATTATCTTTGAATTTGAAGATAATTTGTAATGAGACAGTAATAACGGATTGTTAGAGTACGAGGAAAAGATCTTTGATCGGAAATTCCCATCGATTTCTTTATAAAAAAAAATTAATGTTATTTGTCTTACACTTGTTGAGTTGCATCTATTAAGATACACAATGTTGTCAAATCTTATCAAAATTGATAAAAATTGAAAATTAGCTCACTAGAATATCCAGTCCAATAGAAATTAAATTGTAACCATATTCAAGTGGAACTGTTACAAATATCGGAAAGGTCATCAAGTGATAGATCACTTTATATATTTTATGCATAAAGATATGTGTAAGCGATGTAGAGTAAGATAATTGGATTAACTTGAAGCCATTAAAGACTGTCTTTATGAGAACCATACCTCTAAAAGCAAAACTCTTGTTCTGAAAATCAATTTATTAAATTAACTTTTTTATAGAGCACATCAAGTTACATATGGTCATCAATTTGTTTAGCTACCAAACATGTTCTAAAAACATTGTAAACAATCACATTGAAAATGGAACTGAATAATTAAAAGATTAGACGAGTCAATGAATTCCATAGAAAAATGAAATAAGAAAGATAAATAAATATGAGATTGATTTTTTTAGATAAAAATCCACTTTCATGACCTTTTTCTACACTATTTTTATTCGATTTCACGATTTAAGCAAACTTTCTCTGTTACTATACTGATTTTTCTCTTAGTCTTTATTCTTTTGTGACTTTCAAATTAAACCGTTTACATGTTCAATAGCCAGACAAATTAACGGCCATATGTAACTTGATGTGTTCTATAAAAAAGTTAATTTAATAAATTGATTTTCAGAATAAGAGTTTTGCTTTTAGAGATATAGTTCTCATAAAGACAGTCTTTAATGGCTTCAAGTTAATTCAATTATCATATTCTGAATCAGCAGTATCGCTTACACATATCTTTATGCATAAAGTGATCTATCACTTGGGGATCTTTTCTCGTTAATCAAATAGAGTAAAATATTCCCGAACAAAATGAGACATCTCCGAACTTCTTACGCATTTTTTTCTTACGAATGCATTTAGTTTCCGAAAGTCTAAAAATGTATTATTGTTGTCTCCAATGGCTTTTTTTGTCAGTGTTGAAGGTCTGTCTGTCACTCTTGCTAAATTGAATGCAGTTCGGAGATATCTAATTTTGTTTAGAATGACTCTTGTAACGAAGTAAAAAGTATATGAAAATATCAAACTTTTGTCTAGCTCTTTAGGATGTCTTATTGCTGCACAGTATGTAGTTATCAGCTTTTCATGCGAAAAAACTATGCTATAGTTTTGTTGGTATTAGTATCAATAGAAGTTTATTATTATTATTATTATTGCATGTTCTTGATATCATTCACATACTAGCTAGTTATGGCTTTTTTATACACACAAAAACTCTTTTCCTAAGATGTTTTTTCCTTATTTTTATGTTTTTTTTTCAGGTCATTTATCTTTGTTCTATTTCTTTCTATGTTGTGCGAAACTACACATATTTTGTTATATTATATTTATTGGTAATGTTATTGTTAGTATACATCATCACTTTACAGTTTTTTGGAAGGACTAAAGGACGGCTGTCTATTACGAAATGTAGAGAGAAGCGATAAATTTTTTGTTTGTAGGTGGAATAATAGTTGTATGAATAAAGAAAAATGTTTAGATAAACCATGTATGAGTAACAAAGAAGAGAAGAGAATAACACTAAACAGATCAAATACCACTGGATACAATGGAGATTTTTTACTAAAACAATGAATTTAACTGAAATCTAACAGACGTTAAACGGGAAAAACGGTAGTGACATACTCTCATCAGCATCATACATTCAACTTTCCGAATAATAATGGAAGAAAGTATACAGCATTTATGATTCGGTATACAGTCAAAGCAATAAAAAATTTCTGATCTATTACACAACTCTCTGAGGTATTTTTGCGGTTGTCTGCTGTTGTTAGTATTTTGCATTTTTTTTTTTTGGTTTCTTTTCCGCATTCTTATCTCACAACTATTTTTTGGTATAACAGATTCATATCCTCATTATGTGGTTAACAGAAATATCAACCTACAACATTTTTTTTCTCAAGATCATGAAAAAATAATACTGGATAAATACAATTTTTCTCTTTCTCTTTACGGATACTAAAATTATCAAAAAATATCATCATCAAAAACAGGGAGAGAAGGAGAAAAACAACTTTTAACTAGACAAATTAGACGCGTTAATACACGTTATTATTATAATACAAAAAAAGAAATATCGTCGTCCTTCATATGTGATCTACGACTTATATGGTGTTTGTTAGGTTGTTGTAATACACAAGGACGAAATATGTCGGCTGTATGATACAATAATATTTTCAGAGAAGAACGGGAAGAGAAAGAGATAAAAAATCACAATAATTTCAAATAAACAATCGTTAACAGAATCATCAGTAACCACGACATCAACAATAAGAAAATAGAAAGAGAGTGTGTGTGTGTGCGCGTGAGTGTGTGTTTGTCTATTATCTCTTGTCTGTGAATACCGGTGTGCGTGTGATAAGTGCAGCACAACATTCAAACTATCAAAGGTAATATAATTCGATTTAGAATTTATTGAATATAGCGGGGATAGTCATGATGTTACTCATATTTTCAGAAGGTGTGTAGCCATATTCACATACACATCTCATTCCATTTGATTTTTTGTATATCTGATTGGCGTTTCAGTTTTTGGAAATTGTTGCACCAATTAGATGTATAAGAAAGAAACCAAATTAGAATCAGATGAGATGTGTATGTAATGTAGCTAACTTTCAACTATAAGAACATTTTCACAGAATCCTAAAAGGAGTTTTATTCGAATTCGAATAAAATGGTCATTCTTACTCTATATGGATTATCAAAGAGGTGTAACCGGTATCAAAAATGCGATACCGGTACCGGTCATCGGTATACAAACTTCGTACCGGTACCGGCTTGTCTTAATCATATTTTGCCTAAATACAAATAATTTTTCCTTGTTTTTCTTTACTGCCAACTGTATTTTATGTTATCAAAGGGATATACTGATCTTTTCACTTTGATTATGTATAGCTGATTTTTTACACGCTTTTTTTAACGAAAACAGCAATCATATCCATTCTTTTTAATTAAGAAGTTTATATAAGTCGACAAAGTGTAAGTAAGTGGAATGAAATGTTAGTGAAAGAAGTATGTGACAGATGAACTGGATTTACACGATGTGTTTTGAAAAACATCGTATCATACCGCAAAATACCAGCAATATCGACCGATTGATTATACTTCACACTAATGCCGGTATACCGGTCGGCGTTATAATTCGTACCGGCACCGGTATACCAATACCGGTTGCACCTCTGGATTATCATAAGGTGCTGGCAACTCAAAGGTTCAATAGAATTTATTCTTGTTTTATTTATGCATTGTTACATAGAGCTCATCGATTTACCTAGAAAAATGTTGTCCTTCGCTTTAAAAATAATATGTTTTACTAAAAAAACTTCTAAAATATTCAGAGTTTGAAATTCGTTAAAAATGTCTTATAGTTGAAAGTTAGCTACATTACATACACATCTCATCTGATTCTATACCCGCGGGCTTCTCGCAAACAATAGAGGAAACAGCAAAATATGAGCCCCATTTCATTTTTTTCCACTGATTTTGAAAAAATTGAATTTCTCGTCAATGAAACAAAATTTTCTACAAAGGCTACTTAACTTTTTCTCATGGGTATGACCAATCGAGTGAAAAGATCTGTTATATCTTCTAACTGCAGAGACTTGATGTGTTTGTGAAAAGCTGGGGGTCATTTGTCGGATCTTGCTCATGTCTGATGCACTCATCGACCATTTTAAGTTCTGCAGATGTCAAATCAAACCTTTTATACTAAATTTTGAATAGGGAATCTGAATAAAATGGTATGAGAACATGAAAAGAGAGGAAGGACTGAAAATTTGACTTGTTTTTGAAAAATTAAGACATTTTTAACGAATTTCAAACTTTGAATATTTTAGAAGTTTTTCTAGTAAAACATATTATTTTTAAAGCGAAGGACAACATTTTTCTAGGTAAATCGATGAGCTCTATGTAACAATGCATAAATAAAACAAGAATAAATTCTGTTGAAACTTTGAATTGTTGGCCCCTTGCTTCTTACCTTCCTGGTTTCTTGTTCAATATATAAATTTTTTGCTTTTTTATAATCAGACCATAAAAAAGATGTCAACAAGACGAGCACGCTCTGTAAGTCGTCATCGAGGTTTAACGCCTGGTCGCGAAATGACTCCGTCTATTTACGATAATGGTTATTCCTCGTATTCCACTCGACTAAATATCTATCAGCCGGATATTTATTACCCACGTGCTCATTCAGTATCACGTATTGACGACTATTTACCTCGTGCTGCAAGTGTTGCTCGTTTTAACAATGTGGCAGATGAATATCATTCAATAGTTGGAGGTAGATCAAATGCTTATGATCGTTGGCGTCGTTCACAATCGGTACATCGTTTTGATCATTTGAAAGCACAACGACCCTATCGTCCGTATGCTACACATGATTTTGATTATTTTGATCGTTATACGGAACGTATCCGTGATAAAACACCTATTTATCTCGATGACCACTATAGTCATCGTCCCTATTACTGGTATCATACAGCACCACGTACGCATTACTATTATTTACCATATGATGATTGGCATTATCGTCCATTATACAATTATCGCAGTCCAAATTTATACTCTGCATCGGGCTATGATACAACATATCGTTTTAATGATGCTATTAATCGTGTCGGTACAATGAAACGTGCCATGCGTGATATTGATTATAATCGTGAATTAAGACAATTAAGATTTCATTATCCAACAACATATAGTACATTAACACACGCCGATCATTTTTTGGGTAAAGCAAGAGAAGATGTTAGACAGGCAATTAGAAGTCGAGTTGGCGATGGTATAAGACGAGATAATCCAAGAGATTATTTTGGAAGAACAGTAAGAAAGACGATACTATATGCATGTATAAATAAAGTGCACGATAAATGGTGATGATCCTTAACAATTTTATTTGTCTTGTATGAAATAGAGCTTATATGTACATGACTGTCAAAAATTTTCCATCATATTGCTTTCCTCTATATCGTGAAATACTACGCAACTTTCCATCTTTTTGTTTCAGAATGGTTATTAACCCACAGACACACATATAAAGTAATTAGACGTTAGACATTTTCTATATTATTCAACGATAGATGTACGATTTCATCATATATATATAAATCTATGTATGTTTATATATATATATATAAAATCACTTTTAACCTTAATCGGATACGATTTTGATTGGATATCGATGGCTCAAATTCAATGAGAAAAAAAGAGAGAAGATTATTTCTTTTCATTAGGCTTATTTAGTATCTAATATTTAAATGTGTACTCAAGTACGCGCACATGTGTATGTATGATAATCAAAATGCATTTTTGTCTTTTTGATTGATATCTTATTAGCGGAATTAGAACATATTATGTATTTCTCTGGTTTTTATCTCATTTATGTTCTCTCTGGTCTTTTCAATATTAGACATTATTTTTGTTGTAAAATGTTAAACAAAAATAAGAACAATATGAATGAATTTGAGCCATATGATGTCGTTGGATAAACTGTAGAAAGTAGTTAGAATCAAATATAAGTTTATATCAGCACAAGTACAACTTTTGCTTTTGCATGTCAAATTTTGTGAATGTGTGATGTATGTGCATTATTTAGACAATTTATTTTTCTTCTGATTTTTTAGTTTGTTCAATTTGAAAAAGATGGTGTTAATAATGTAGGAGTTAAATATACGGGATTGACAAAAACGGTTGATGCTAAACCGAGTTATTGGAAAGCTGAAGATAATGTTGAAACTGGCTAGTAAGTGAAAAATATGTTCAATTTTTCTTTAGACGAAAAAAAAAACAGAAAATATTCACATTCTTTTTCTTTTTTTTTCTTCTTTTGATAGTGATTTACAAGCCATGAATGATGATACAATTGATAAACTAGATGCAAATCAAACACGTATTGATGCCAGTCGTGAATGGCTCCTACAAGATCGAGCGGGTATAGCACCACGAATGTATCATTTTGATATGGATTCTGTAAGTATTATGTCATTTTATAAGCTAATATGAATCAAATTTTGTTTATTTCATTTTTTTTTAAGCGTCGTGCTCGTCGAGATGTTGATAATGCTCAACGCCTTGTTAGAAATTTACAACAACTCAAACATGAAATGACAAATCGTTTAGCACAACCATGGACATTTACAAAATATTCTTAATAAAAAACATTAAAACTCGGTGAAATATTTCAAACATAACGTGTTCTATATATTGAAATATTTATTTATGAGTTGCATCAAGAATTATAATAAGCGTTGTTTTGTTTTTTTATACATCATTATTTATTATTAAATCCCATTAGACTAAATATTTACTTTCATTTTTTGCCGATAAATAAAGTTTAGATTTGTTTTTGAATATGCCTGACAATTCTGATAGAATGAAATTTGATAAAAAAACAAAGAGATAACTAGAATAATGTAATGAAAACTATGAATATCGAGTGACCCAGAATAAATGGCCTTCCTCGTATTTTGCTTATAACTTTTTTTCTTTTCAATTCTTAGACCTGACTGTTTTTCCAAAAGATGCACCGTCAAATTCTCTACAAAATGATATATAAATGTTGTGATATTTATCCCAAATACATTTTTTATAAAATGAAAAGCAGTGATCTTCAAAAACTCGTACTTTCTAAACGTAAAAATGGTGAGCCAACAAAAATATATATTTTTCTCGTATTTCTTTAGGACGCTAAGTTAGTGTTTTTTTAAAATATGCGTCGCTACATACTCTACAAAACCATAGTTAAACTTTAATTTCACTTCAATCAAGAAAACTTACAAAAAATTATACGAAAGACGAAAAAAATGAAAGTTTTCTAAATTTGGTTTTTGTTTTCGACTTGAACATTTTACTTTTTGACTTTAGAAAGTTTTCATGTTTTCGTCTTTCGCATAATTCGTACATAATGTGTTACTCAATCTCTGTAATAAAAGTTGTTTAAAGTAGTTTCTCCTTGCAGTGGAGCGCCAGCCAGGACGTTCGTTTTAGAATGGTGTATTTTTAACCAATAATAGTACTTTGTAGTCGCGTGTGTCTGTACATGAGTATTTATAGGCTATTTTCATTTTCGTTTCTGTTTGTGGGTGTGACGCAGTACAATACAAGGGCTTTATAGTATAATATGCAATAGTCAAAGCTGCTTGCTATTTTATATAGAAATAAATCTAAATGTTGTTGTGATGTTGCAAAAGGTGTATTTTTTCTCTCGTTGTAGAAATCTTCCAACGTAGATAGTTATAAATTTTCTGGTGGTTCTATGTGACCACAGGTTCTCATGAGAATTCTGTCGAGCTTCTCGCTTATGGTTTATAGATGATGATTGTTGCCAATGGTTTATAGATGATGATTGTTGCCAATGGTTATATTAGTCGGAAAACGTCGTCGATTAAATAGTGTTAGTCTTCATTTGGTTCGTAGTGCTCGTTCCACATTGGTAAGATAGGATCATAATCTGACATATTATTATTAATCATTACTTTAACGCTTTATTATTTGTATGTGCTCATCACACCTGTTATGTCGCTTTTGTATATACAATAACTAGCTTTTATTGTTTTATTTAATTCTAGACCAAAAACACACACTTAATTTAATAACGTTCTATAGCTGCTTGTTTTGTTATCGTTTTGTTTGTGTGTGTGCATATATTTAAATGTCGAACTTTAATTTTATAATAATAATTGAAAGATAATAGTCATAAATAAATAAATAAAAATAGCAAGCATACGGCGATTTCGTGCTATGACTGAAGACGATGATGAAAAACGAAATAAATATGAAAATAGACGAAAAAAAATAATCAAAGTATTTATTAACTATTTTTATAAAATTTAACAAATTATTCAGTTTTAAATTTTTAAAATTGAGTAATATTTGTTTATTTTTTTGTTTTAGCCCGGTGGTTTTGGCAAGCCAAGTGTATATCATGGTTTAGTTGTCATTTTTTTAGAATTTTTTGCATGGGGACTATTAACAAATCCAATTATTACCGTAATTTTGAAGCGTTTAAGTGTGTTTTCTTATGCAATATATTATGTGTATTTTCTGTTTAGACTCTAAATCGAACATTTCCATCTCATACGTTTCTTGTAAATGGTATAATTCATGGTGTAAAGGTAAGAATTCAATTAATTTGTTGTTTTAAAGATATATATTCATTTTTATGTTTTTAAGGGTTTATTAACTTTCCTTAGTTCTCCGTTATTGGGTGCCTATTCAGATGTATGGGGACGAAAACCATTTTTACTTGTTACAGTCTTTTTTACATGTTCACCAATACCATTGATGAAAATCAGTCCAATGTAAATATGTCTCATATCTTTTTTTTACGACTAAAAACTTCTTTTTTTCTTTGCAGGTGGTATTTTGCTCTAATAAGTATTAGTGGATTATTTTCCGTAACATTTAGTGTTGTTTATTCTTATGTAGCAGATGTAACAGATGAATCATCTAGAGGAGCAGCATATGGTTAGTTAGTTATTTTAAAAGAAATTTTTTTCGTATAGAAGAAACGTAGTTAAACTAAGTCTTCATTCTTTCTCTTAGGTCTTGTGACGGCTACATTTGCTGCTAGTTTAATAACAAGTCCAGCTATTGGTGCTCATTTAGCTCGTTTATACAGTGAAAATTTTGTTATTGCTTTGGGTACTGCTGTAGCTATTGTGGATCTTTTATTTATTTTTTTTGCCGTACCTGAATCATTACCTGAACGTTTACGAAACGATACAAAAATATCATGGGATAAAATTGATCCGTTTTCCGCATTAAGAAATATTTCACATGATCGATTTATATGTCTTATTTGTTTTATTGTCATGTTATCATATTTGCCAGAAGCTGGACAGTATTCATGTTTTTTTGTCTATCTAAGATTGGTATGTTAAACATTTAGATGAATTACGTTTTTTTATTTTATTTTATTTCTTTATAGGTGCTTCAGTTCACGGAAGATGAAATTGCATATTTTATTGCTTATGTTGGAATTCTTTCATGTATTGCTCAAGTAAGTTTATTTTTATCTATTTATACCTTTCTTTTTTTAGTATATCTTTCATGTTTTTTAGACTGCTATTCTAGCGTGTTTACAACGTTATTTTGGTTCTAAAGAAACAATTATGGTTGGACTCTTCTTTCAAATTGTTCAATTAGCTGCATACGGAATCGCGACATCTAACTGGTATATAATGAGAACATTAAAAATTGTTAATTTTTTCATAGTATAGATTGAAGATAAAAGAAAGTTTAATATTGCTTGTATAATCGTGTATATTTCTTCTATTTTTGTTTTTATTTTCCAGGGTTATGTGGTTGGCTGGTGGATTAGCTGCATTATCTTCTGTTATATACCCGTCTATAAGTGCCTTTGTATCTATTTACGCTAAAGAAAATCAACAAGGTAAGAATTTAGAAAGAGAGGAAAGCATTGAATTTAACTCTCTTTTTGGATATCTGTATATCTTTTTAGGACTTGTCCAAGGAATGGTAAACGGTGTTCGAGGTTTATGTAATGGTCTAGGTCCAGCTTTGTTTGGTTTTATATTTTATTTATTTCACGTAAATCTAAATGAAGGCAATTTACCCAATACACTATCAGGATCAACAAATTTACGAAATACAACGTCTGTTGTGGACGACCCTATATCTAGTGTAAGAAGAAATTCAGTTGTTTAGTGTATGCTAAATGAGAAGTAAAACTAGCAATTATTTCTTATTTTAGCGTAATGTTCCTGGACCACCATTTCTGTTTGGTGCGTTGTTGGCTACAGTTGCCTTGATGTTTTCTCTTCTGTTACCAAACTCCAAACCCGATTCATGTGAAGTGAATACAACGCGAACAGTCGAACGAGAAGCACTTCTATTAGATTTAATTACAGATACGGGTGTCATGTTGCCTTAAGTAGAATGTTTGTTATTTGTTATTTTTCTTTTTTTAACTATCTTAAATTTAACTTTCCTATGAAAAATGCAAACTCAAAATTGAATGATCAATATTGAATCGAGATCGCCATTTTTTCAGAAATAAATCATAATTTGATATAGGACAAATTTTAATGCAAACTAATTTATGCTGAAGAAATTTTAAACACAACATTCGATCAACATTTACTTAATACATCTTTAAAAATGCTTGGTTATTTTCATCTAATTAAGCGTATTTCTCGATTCTTTATACGAGATTGATTTTAAGATTTTTTTTAAAATTAGTGGTGGCTTTTTTGTCTTTCATATATCGGATGTGTGTGTGCCGCTCCCCTTTTGTTATTTTGAAAAATTTTTTTTTGCAAATATGCTTCTTTTGTTATTGTTGTTATTGTTCTCACCCTGAGTATTTATAACGGCAAATTGATTTCTTTTACATTTATTTGTTTTGTTATTGTTGTTTTTTCTTAGAAACAAAAGGCTTTTTATTTTTGTTAAGAATGAAACTCAATAAAGCCGTACTCTTTGTTTCTCGGTGGTTTTTAGAATGCTTCGTCATAGCTTTGTTGAAGAATAAAGAATCTCTGTTTTAGTCAAAGTGATGATATATGTCCAGAATTTTTTGTCATAAGAGACATACTTGTAGGATAGATGAACACTTTTTTATTAGAAAAACAAACGTCGAAGCGAATACTTTCCAAGCTAACGGGGTTGAATCTTTTGAATTTTTTCGACAATAGTCAAGGACTGATTTGTCATTTTCTACACTTGTGTACGCTGGTTGATTGTATAATCAACAATATTATCTAAGATGATGTCATTATCGATACTAAAATGCTTTATGAACTGGCATGTGACTTATTCGCCATACAACGTGACGTGTATTCTAGAGGTAGACGATTAATAAGTTCAGAAATATATCTATGCATGAATATTACAGTTGTCACCACGCATAGATTGACTTTTATCTTTTTCTACAACTTATTTTTGTCATGTGTTTTATTCTTATTAACGTACGGCTCACGGTTACCATCTTTTTGCAGAAAAATTTCGCTTTCTGAAGTTTTTTCCATTTTTGTTTCTTGATTGAATGTAATCACTTTAGATAAACTTTATTTTCTATTAATGCATATATAAAACGAATCTCTACCCTTCCTAAATCTGCTGATTTGAAAAAGCATCGGGAAGCGAAAAAAACAAAAATGTTTTCCGTTTTTTTTACCTACTTTTGTTAAAAATCTTTTCGCTTTTCGGACTTCCAAAGGTGGTAACTCTAATATGGGGATACTACAATTATAACCTGTATCAGATTATTGATTGATAAACATAAAATTGAATGTACACGAGTTTATTCGATATCATATATCAGAAAAATAAATAGTACGATAGAATCATACTGTTCGAATGATATTTTCAAACAATTAACAATAGATTCGTGTTGTCAGTACACTTTTGGATAAAAAGAGAGCAAAGGATATTTTTTATTAAAAATTTCAGTTATTCTTGACTACATAGGAAATGAACCATTAGTCTATATGAAAAAGATTTTCAAAATAATCTGTTGATTTTCAGATATGTTTGAGTTAACGGGAGATATTGCACCTGTTATTTGCTATATTTGGACATACAGTGATAGATAAGTGTGATAACATTCAAATCTCATATTCATGATTTCTTTTTTATATAATGTGTAAATACAAAACAATAATTCATATATTTTTTTTTTTTGTATGACTAGAGTACAAACATTAAACATTCATTTTGTTGTTGTTGTTTTTTGTTCGAAAAAAAAAAACACTAGAAACAAAATACTAAACAAAACAATACTGAATAACAATTAAAACAAAAAAGCTTTTAAAGTGACTAAAAAAAGAATTTTGATTTTTTTTAAACATCGAATTGCAAACGCATACACACAAACTAACGGTAAGAATAATGGCAAAAACTGTTCGAGGCGCATTTATTTTTTATTTTTTGATTAATTGCTGCTCGTATAGGATGGTTCACTGTCTTAGGTTAAAATATCATTGCACTATATATTTAATAAATCACAGATTATTATTGTTTTTTTGACTAGAAAGAAAAAAAGGTGTAATAATGGACTTTTTACATAATTTCTTTTAAACGTGATTCAATAACAATTCGACGATCACGTTCTTTTAAATATAATTG